ATAGGTTAAAAATCTATTGCCTGTGTTATTCCCTGTTTTTGTTGCCTGTATTTTTTTATCGTGCATTCAACTTTATTCTTGATTCTTTAGCCCTAATCGCTAATATCTGTTTTTTGTTCCTTATATTTTTCATTGTACGGAGACCTTTAATCTTTTAGTGGAATCGAATATACTTGTATTTTCATTTCTATGGCCGGAGATTTTTAACATCAATAGCATACACGAAACATTTATATTACTCCTATTATATAATTTTTTGCAATTAAAGATAAAAGATTAATGTTTTGCACTAATTATGTCACGATTATTTGTTTCAAATTAAGAGGCAGTGTATTATAAAAAAAAATTTGGAGCTAAGAATTTTGTAGAGGTCTTTCTATGTATAGACACAGCCTTATACATTTAGTTATATGTATAAATATATATCTTAAAATTAAATTTAGAAAGACAATGTTTTAAAACAACTTTCCATATTTTGAAAAAATCTACTAGAATGAACCATAATATACCATATTCTTTTTGGATACAATGAGATTATATAAATTTAATTAAATTTAACATAAAAGTATATGTATTTGTTTTGTCAATAATTAAATAAACAAGAAAGATTTGATTTTTATATTCGACAACGTTTGGCTAATGTCGTGACAATTCGACCATAAATTTAATTAACATGCCGAGATGTCAATACATATTTTACTTTGATATAATATTTTATATAGTATTTTATATAGTATTTTATATAATATTTTATATAATATTTTATATAGTATTTTATATAATCTTTACATATATATTTGATTTTCACTCTCACTTAATTCCCTTACCTCCTCTTCTGCTACCAAGCATATTTCCCTTTGTATCTGTCTTACCTTTCAAGTTAGGTCACTGTCAATGTTTTTCTCCTTTAAGGTCTTCTTTTTAATCATAACTGTCCTTTTCTGTTCCTTACCTTTCAGTTTCTCTGTAATCATATTTGTTCCTCTTTTTGTCCAGAATTTACCATAACTTCTAATGTGGAGTTCTTTCTGGTAATATTTCTTCTATCTTTTTCTACAGTATCTCTTTTTTGGACCTCTCATTCTTTTATCACAATATTGTTTTCTTTCTTTCTCTTATTTCCTCTTGCATTTTTAATTTTTAAAATTTTCTATTGTATGTAGATCGCCATCCGCGCCACTGTGAGATGAGTACAAAATAATGTTTGACAAGTGGAAAAAGGATGTACAGGAATTGAATACGTATATGTTTCTTTATTTAATAAATTATAGGCTCATTAAATGTACAACAAATTACATTTTTTTAAATAGTAATACATACAAGATGTTCCCCAAAATTAGATACTAAAACATTACTGATAAATCCGGTATATTATAAAATAGAATAACGTATAACTGTCACGTTGGCATATTTATTTCTTTATATACAAGCTACTGAATGTAGTAATCTGGTGTTTGGACACATTAGTGAATGCGTGTGGTTGACTCAAAATGGACCACTTAACATTCCTTACTGATATATATATCCTGTATCATGCATGATATATATTTTCAGCGATTTTCAATTCTAATATTTATTTAACAGCCAATTAATTTTATTATAATGTTCAACCAGAACAATGCCTATTATCATACCTCCGCCACACAATATATTTTTATATACGACATTTCCTTCCTTTATTCACTAATTAGCTTGATCTAATTAAATTTATTGATGCAAAATTTGTAAGGACTACCTCTTTTGTCAGATATTTCGTTGTATTCAAGTGTAAGAAGATTTTAGATTCGGAACGAAAATAGTAGATCTGCGATACTTATATTCAGTTAACTGTTATCTGAACTTGTTGGAATTATATCTAACTAACATAAATAAGTAGCAACTACAAATTTAAAGAAAAAAAAGATGTAAATATTTTCAGACATTTCCATTCACAAGTTAAATTTTCAAGCTATCTAGTCAGGGCTCGGATGACAATGAGGCCACTTTATATAATTGCCTTTATGTAATTTCATTATATAAGGCATCTCCATGACTCTTAGTGTTCAAAACTTGTCGGTGACCTAACAGTTTATAGTCAGGCGCGATCTTTCCGGCTTTGACGCCGAGCTCTATGATCTTTTGCGCGGCACGTAATTGTAGTTTCGGCGGTACAACTGAACTAAAAATACCGATGAAGGAAATGCCAATACTTCTGCTGTTATAACCACAGGCATGGGCACCGACGTAGTCGCCAACCAATTTCTGCCAACACATGCGAAGCCGTCACCTCCGACGAAAAAATTATAGCCGATATTCGAAAAATTGTAACCTTTGAAATGCGTATACTGAACAAATCTCACTTGAAATGCACAATCTGATGGCGTGGTACAGAATGCTGTCACAGTGTGATTAATAATTATATACATATGATACTAGCAGCTTCATTTTTGTTAGAGGTTCCAAAGGCGGCTCCGCATCCCATTCATCCCTCTCAATAAAACATAACGAAGTGTCCATTATTATCTGAAAGTCATGAAAACAGTACATATTATACGAAACGGCGATCCAATCCACGTGCCGCGCTAATAGCGGGATGCGGGTGTAGCCCCGGTCGACGACGATCTTGCTCGCCTAGACCGCAATAGACAACAGGAGTCCTCGAGATGTGAACGCCTCGCTGAGATACCGCGGCTACAATCACTCTGCCCAAAATATTTGTTTTTTAATTAATTTCTATAATTAGTGTCCCTAGCCTAGCATTTGGGATCTACTGATAAACAGCTTACTAAAGAAGAACTACGTGTATATTTGAAAAATAATTTCTTCTTGTTAAGCTTTTTCTCTAAATCAAAACTAAAATGTCTCCTTTGAATGTTCCGAAGTATCTTTAATATTTCATGTGTTGAAAGAATGGTTATAATTATACTGAGAAGAAGAGAGAAGATATTTCGGTTTACACCTGCCAGCATACTGGAAACCCCCAATCAAGATCCAGACCGTCGAATCCGTACTGCTCGATGATTCTTATGACATATCTGACCGCGGGCTACCAACCAATCTGCTGTACTTGTCGTCCTTTGAGTCGTTCCATCCACCTAGACCGAGCAACATCTTAAGGGGGTAGCCTAGTCAGAAAAGTCATTTTTTTTGCTTAAAATACTCCCTAACATCTGTAGAATACGGGGCTATATTTGGTTTTTCGAAATTCGAACGGTAAGTCTACCGATCGATATCCTTTTTCCGAGCAGATATGTGAGCACGCAGTTGCCGCTCAGGCACCCTTTGGCGCGCAGTAAGCCGTAACGGTTTTATGGGTTCTATGGGTTTTATGGGTTATATGGTCCAGGAATTGCCGATTGACTGACCTAAAGCCGTAAGTTCCCAAAAAAAATTCTTTATTCAACTTTTTTTCTCATATTTTTGTACCAAAAACTTTAAACGCGTTTTTCTCGATAACATGTTTTTGAAATTGGTGTGCACAATTACTCAAAAACTAATAAACGGATTGACTTAAAACTTAACATACTTTGAAAATACATAATTATTTTTTATATGAATAAAAATTATTTTGAAAAAATTGTTTTAAAAAATTTTATTGGCATTTTTACCGACTTTTTTATGCGAAAAATCGGTTCTTTTTTAAATTGCTGTAAAAATTAAAATTTTTTATTTTTTAAATTTTGCGCCTATTCATATAGAAAATGTACGTATATAGATTACAAAATCATTTGAAATTTTCAGATTGGATCATTTTTGCGATCCAGAGACTGCACACCGATTTCGTGCTTTGAAATAAGGCGCTCAACAAGATCTGCTATATCTTTTGTTTAAATAATTTTGTTTCATGAATAAAATTTTTTTGTATTGTCTAAGAGTTATACTAGTGTGCAAAAAAAGTTTTTTCTTAAACTTTCTGCCCTTGTAGTGTAATATACTATTTTAACCATTTAGAAATGTTTTAATATTGTTTTTGTAGTAAAATATACACGTACTAAAAATTAGGTAAAACTTTCTAACATCTTTTGTCATTTTACTGCACTACAGATAATCGTGTATCGTTTATTTTTTTTTATTACGTTTCACCTTCTTCTATATTAAGTGCATTCGGGGCACCATGGTACCCACTGCTCTGTGGCACCATAAATCACACACGCCACCAAGCTTAATGATAGATAGATATATAGGTTGATGATATATTTTATTTTTGATTGAAGAAAACATGTCAAAAGTCAGTTTTTCTCCCAAAAAAATGATATTTCAATAGTGGGTTCTGATATCTTGTTTGTCCTGCCCAATCCTGAACAGTGTCATAAGAAAATGTATATAATATAAATTTTTTTTAACTTTTATAACTTTTCGTTATTTTTTGAATAAATAAACGTAGTTTTTTGTGTGATTTATAATGCCTCAGTGACAGACCCATGATGCCCCGGGTATGAGGCACCTTGGGTCATTTCTCAAAAAATGTTTTTTAATTTTTTTTTCCAAAACTAATCAATATTTGCCAAATACGCTAAATAAATTTTAAAATATAATGTTTTAATTATTAAAAAAAAATGAGACAAAAAATCTTATATTTAAAAGTACTTTTCAGAGTTTGAATTCTTGTGGCTTATAGTGCCCCGATCTCCCCTTATATTGGTCTTGATGATGTAGTGGATTCGTATATTGGACGTTTTGTGGTAGTTGTGGATTCGATGTCGGTTTGGCTGACGTCGTTACAACCGCTCCTAATAATCATAAGAAGTAGTATTAAAATGTTATTAAAAAATCATACCTAAAAAATACTATTTCATAAAATATAATCAATATTTATACTTTTTTTATATAATAGACTCCAAACTTTATATTTTTCTACATATTGTACATATCATTGAGATATTTTTTTATTTTAAAAAAATTATATTAACATCTACCTTCTGTAATGGGACACAGCGGGCCTTTCGGATAATTTCTCAAAACTCGATTCATTGTTTTCAATAGCGGACTAGGCTCGCAGTCGCATCTGTTGTTGAAGTCGTCCAGATCTAAGGCCCAAACACTACCACCGCCAAGACCAAGTTTCTTGATCAGTTCTGCCTTCAGTTTGATTTGTTGAGCGTCGTCGAAGCTCACCCACTGATCATCTTTGTAGGCATAAGGGCCGATTCTTCTGTCTTTATCCTGAACGACTGTCCATCCCTTCTTCAACGTTCTTTCACATATCTGTCATAAAAGCAAAAGAATAGATATTTCTTTACTCCTGGAATAAATATATACATCTTTTAGAATATTAAAAATTAATAACTTTTTATTTGCGGCTATTAATTAATGCATAATTAATATTTTCTTACATGCATTTTATTAGAAACTTATTTGATGATTTTTTAATATTTATTTAGATTTTTATTTTTTAATATTTCTATTTTGGACATGAATTTACCTCGTAATATGACAAGAAGCCTGTTGCATTGGTCGCCTCTCCAGCTTCGCCGCCGCCATAGGTTGGCGCGTTTAATCCGTGTACCTTTCTCTCCGCAAGTGAAAATGATTGGCCGTGTAATGGGGCGCCCATGATCAACTTTTTCGGATTTGCACCTTTCTTTATCCAATAATGGATCGAAAAGTTCTAGTGACAAAGAACTAAGTATTTTAAAAATTTCCGATATTATTAGTATAATTTCCATGCTAAATAATTTTCAAAGTAATTAAACTTACAGCATTAGATGTCGGTTTCCAGTCATTCGGTAAAGAATACAGCGGTGCTACGTGGCCAGTCTTTTTGTCCCATTGACCATGGAAGTCGTACGTCATCACAGATATCCAGTCCAGGTATTTGGACAGGATAGGAACGTCGTATCCCGCGTCGATCACCATCTTGCTTGGCGATACGGCCGCAGAGAGAAGTAATCCTCGAGGCTTAAACTCGTTACTCAGTTCCTTCACCAGCTCAGCGAAGCTTTGCTTGTCAGACTCCGGGCCCTTGTTGCAGTCCGCTTGCCAGCATGCCGGATATTTCCAATCGAGATCGAGACCCTCGAAACCATACTTCTCGATGAAGTCAAGAACTTGCGTGATAAATCTTCGCCTAGCCGCCGGCGAGTTTACCTGCAGTCTACTGTATTTGTCGCCGGCCGAATCGTTCCAACCTCCCAGTGTCATCAGCACCTTCAGACCCTTTGCCTTGAACGCCACCACCCTTTCGTAAAACTTGTTGTCTATATCGGCCCAGAGATCGTTGCCCGCGAAAAACGATCTAATATGAATCTAACTAAAATCATATTAAA